ATATATATGAGCTTTGGTCAATCAGAATGGACTCAATGGCAATGAGACTGATTTCGGGTTTGACATCTGCATAGGCTGACTGTGTGCTTGACAGCTGAGATTCTGGGGGAACGTTTGTTCTTAATCCTGAAAGCATTGGGTGTGAAGGATCATCTCTTTGTGATGAAGTGATGAGGGATAGGAACATGGATATTATCAGGACAAGCACAGCATGTCATGACTGAGGAAATCCAGGGTAAGGAGCAGATTCCTCTTTGGATGTCCTCCCAATCACAACAGATCATCATGTTCTCAGAATTCCCCTAGACCAGAAGGTCAAATGTGTGTACTCTTGCAGCCCAGTTTATATGAAATTATTCTTTCCTGATGACCCCACTGAGGAGTCCTGATTGGATGAAGGAATATGGAACTGAGTCAGAGAAGGTGTAGGTCATTATCAATAAGGTTTGGTCTGAAGATAACATCCAAACGCTGGAAACTCTCCACATGATCCGTGGCCTGAAAAGCAAGTGTCTGTAGAGAGTGGGAAAAGATGCAAACACAGACAGAGTAGTGGAGAGAAGCTGGAGAAAGAACCGATGTCTTTCAAGTTGGAGCTCGAGATTTTCCTGATAATTTGGTACATTCTGGCTCTGCTCACTGTTGTCAATGACAAAGCACAGCCCACCAAGCCCTGCTTATTTACTTGCACCATTTTAATGGTCTGGCAATTATAAGATGCTTACAAAGTTTTTTTTAACAGAAGGGACGAAATCCTGGTCGATATGTGGAGGGTAGGAGCAAGAAGACAGATGATTTATTTTATTTTTCCTTGGATTTTTAATGCAGTCTACTTGGTGAGCTAAATTAGAGTTGGAGGTGGAGACAAGGACTAAAGTTTTCCTTTAAAACAGTTGGAGGAAAAAGAGTGGATGTAATTGTCCAAAGAGAACGTATAGAATAGGTGGAAGAAATTCAAGAATAAAATTCCAGAGCACAAATACATGATATGAATATGGTAAAGGAAAGGTGGGTGACAAAATAGGAAAAAGGAGAAAATCATGTGCAAGATGATAAAGCACACATGCACTTATAAAAAATTAAAGATAAATAACACCAGTTCACAAGAAATCAAGTAAGGTGAATGGATGACAAATATAGGTACATACATATGTAAATATATTTATATATAATGAAAGGGGCATAGATCTCTCTACATATATTTGTATGTTAAGTGTTAAGGTAGCAGACAGACATCGGGTCTCTACTCAAGTCCTTCCGTAATGCAAAAACACTTTGTTCTAATAACCTGGCATTCTGTGATGCTCACCTTCCCAAAATGATCACTGAAGACAAAATGGGTGCATAAGCAAATGTGGTGAAGAAAGCTGATGATGCCCGGCTACTAAAAGATAGAGTATCTGGAGTCATAAACGCTTGAGTATAAAAAAGCAGCCATCTGTCAGATAAGCATCAAAGCCCACATGGAAGAAGCACACCAGCCTGTGTGATCATGAGGTGTCGACAGGGTCAGGTATCAGGCATCAGAAGACCCAAAACACATAATCATATTGATACCTATGAGGCGGGGTAAAGTGGAGACCCAAAGCCCATCTTAGACAATTGTACATCCTCACAGAAGGGTCACTAGGAAGAGATGAGCCAGTCAGGGTGCAGTATAGCACCAACAAAACATGCAATATTCCTCTAGTTCTTTAATGCTTCCTTGCCCCCCACGCCCCTCACTGTCCTGACCCCAAGTTTACTTTACAAATCCAGCTAAACCGGAGAATGTACACTGGTAGAGATAAGAGCTCTCAACACACAGAATCCAGGACAGAGAAATCCCTCAGAGACAATAATGGCAGTAGCGATGCCATGAGTGTAGAGGGAAGGTGGCAGGAGAAAGGAGAAAACTACCTCAATCATCAACATATAAAAACCCCACCCAGAGTGCTGAACAACAGAAACATGGGTGAAGGGAGCAGTGGACAGTGTAAAATATGAAAATAATAACTATAATTTATCAGTGGTTCATGGGGGTGGGAGGATTGGGGAAGGAACAAAAAAATGAGGAGCTGATACCAAGGGCTCAAGCAGAAAGTAAATGTTTTGAAAAGGATGATGGCAACCTCTGTACAAATATACTTGATACAATGGATGTATGGACTGTTATCAGAGGTGTAAGAATCCCCCAATAAAATGATTAATTTAAAAAAGAAAAGAAAAGAAATGTGGTCCCAGGTTGGGTTCTCTAAAAGCACACGTTATGATGTTTGTTGGGGTACAAGATGTTTACCATAGGTGAACACCTGTGGAAGGTGGAGTTGGAAGCATAATTGTACAGTGGGAACATATGTACAAAGGAGCTTAATATAATTAATGTATGGATTGTTA